CTTAGAATGATTTCACAATAGCGAAAAAACCTTTTTAATGGCTCATCGTCTTCGTTCAGTAACTTCAACTTTTGTCAACGTTATGTGGAAAGATATAGTAAAAATATTTCGATAAATATTTATTTGGCTCCATCGACGGTACCGATAGAGCTATAACATTGTAAAGGTTTAGTTTTCTCGATAAATATTTTTTTTTTAATGGAATTTTTTCCATGACTCAACAATACATACGACTCAATTTGCTGCTCAATTTTTATGAAGATCGAATAAAGTGCATACGATCTAATGATTTTTTGTATCGATTTATTTCAATGCGATTTTCAAGCGAATCGATTCAATAGAAAGGCAAATCGAATAGTCTAGATCAGAAAGCAATAAACATTTTGTAATATCATTCAGTTTGAACAAACTCTATTTACAGGAAATACTTAAGTAGTTGTAAATAGTCGCTGTCCTCGATTTTGGGCGGTAATGGATTACAACCTGATTTAAACCCGGCGTTTACGGGTTAAAATCCAGGCGCTTGCCGGTCTCCGATCAGGGGCGACGATGTAATAATATTCCTGTATGCGAAGTTGTTTACTAACCGATAGAAAAGCGACGGCAGAGGCACTGTGGCGAGGTGCCACAAGGCGTGCGCGTCGAGGGCGTGCAGCAGCGGCGCGAAGTCTGCCAGCTCCAGAAGTAGCGCCAGCCCCGAGAGCACCGTGAACGCCGCCACGCGCCACGCGTACGTGCGCCCGCGCCGCTCGGACCACAGCGCCCACACGAGCCACACTATCGCGCCAGTGGCCCCTGCGCACATTATGGTATAGTAGCACCGCAGTGTCTCTAGCGGTTGGTGCTGGCCGACATTACTGTCTGACGTTCTCGTGACGCATTTTTTTGCCAAAGCCCTGTGGACATAGATATAAATAGCCTATGCAAATCTATAATAAACCGCCACCACCACCACTTGCTGAACCTTTACTTCTGTGAAGTCGAATTAGTTATTACTAATTTCCTAAAGCCTTGTAATAGTTATTCATTATGAAGCACTAATAAGTTTGATTTTGGCGTGGACTACTTAGAAAACGTACTTTTATTTTTTACTACTTTAATTTGACTTTATCATAGCACTACACTATTAACAGGTCAGCCTGTGTATTAATTATGCGCTAGATAGATTGGATCGTTATTGTTCAACAAAAATAAGTAATAATGGTCGAACCCTTAGAGTAATAACGCATAGAATGATAGTTTCATATCAAACGAACTGTCACAAGTGAGGCAAAAATCAATTTCATGTAGGCGTAAGCAACGTGTATCTACGCTCGTCGGTACGCATACAAATATACAAATAATGATGCCATGGAATAACATTTCCCTCAAAAGTGGGGAAATTATTTTGCTTAACTCATCATTAAGTTAAAGGTGCGTACAAATTTGCCCGACGTTGTCGATCAGGTGACTACAGATATTCGTAATGAGCACCCTTAAACTAAAATTGTAACAATGCTTTCCTATGAAATAAAGATTATTTTGATTTTGATTTTGATTCTGGGTATCGTTTACGCGGTATTTGGGGGTGCTCATTACGAATATAGAACTTATTTCTAAATCCAATAATGAGCACCCCTAAATACCTCGAAAACGATACCCAACTTGCCATTATTCGAAAAATCGTGCCCGCCATCTTGGATTTAGAAATTAGTGCCATATTCGTATTGAGCATTCCCAAATATCTCGAAAAGGATACCCATATTGCATTTTTTTGAAAAATATTGTCCGCCATCTTGGATTTAGAAATAAGTGCTATATTCGTAATGAGCACCCCCAAATACCTCGTAAACGATACCCAGAATCAAAATCAAAATCAAAATAATATTTATTTCATAGGAAAGCATTGTTACACTTGAAATCGTCATATTGGTTAAACTCTACCGCTCATTCGTAAGGCAGATTTCCCCGAGAAGTATGAGCAAGAAACTCTAGGGGTTGCTCTTTGTAAACAACATTTGTACGCAATCAACTTGCAGAAATGGAGGTCAAATGCACACTTACATTAGAATAAAAAAAAATCTGTTGCCATCGCGATATTGCCTATTCTCAAAAAATTACGTAATATAATTATTTTGAAACAGAATAGCAAAATTGGGAGAAAGAAATTCGTTGCTTTGCAACATTTTCGTGTCTTGTTGCGACGAAATTAATTTTCGGTTCTAGTGAATATTTATATAAAAATACAAGTTGAAACGCATTACTTCCTTGTGGAATGTGATGTTAGTATCTATTTTATGTTTGTCTGACGTATTTTTACACTCATTTACCGCACATTTCGTCATTTTTAGCTAAAATTCTTGAGCTGTTCGCGGTGCAAATTGACCTTGAGCACTGACGGCCCGCCCGCTCGTGTAGGCCCATTGGGAGCGCTTCAATTTGCCTCACTTGAGCGTGTGCGGACTAGGTTTCTATGCGTTATTATTCTAAGGTCGAAGCATTTTTAAACAAACAATAGCAATAACGGCTCCGGCCAACCACTAACTAGCTTTTGACATATACATGCCTCCGAAGTTCCGTAATTATTGACACAACCATAGACAAAAAAAAACAATACTTCCTGGGCTAATCAATTCTTATTGTTTATTATAATGAATCGTCGGATTATTCTCCATTAGAACGGGAATCATCAACTTGTATCCTCATTAACATTAATTATTAATTCTTGAGTTCACAAATTACATCACGAACACAGACTATCTTCTTTTAGAAACCCGCTCACATTCACGATTAAAACTTCTTCATAAATAAAATCGATTCTTTATAATAATCGATTTTTTATAACAAATGGAATTGGATACGCATTAGGACATCACTAATGGATTAGAATTCAAACTGTCAAAAGTTAAAATGGTTGGATGGAGTACAGTAACGAAATCTTGGTTGTTTAAACGAATCTGTTTTTCTATTCACAATCTTATAATGTGCAACATACCCGAAATGACATTAACAGTCATATTGTATTCATAGTCGATTCTGCCGTAGAGCATGCCCTCGTACAAGTAACGCACGTGGTCCGCAAAATAAGTTAACATCATGAATATTAACAATATGCATATTACTTTTGTCGAGTACAATATTCTGAAACAACATCGACAAGAATATTATTTTTTAAATTTATGTATAAGGGAAAGCACCGCTTTTGTTGTCATTAAATTTTCGATGGTCGTTAACTTTTAAAAGTCGCCGCTCACTACACCGCCCCGTAATGCCTCTAATTAAAACGACCAGAAGTGGACTTTAAGTATATCTCTGCATTTTTAGAAGACGATTGAAAGATAAAATAGGATTAATTACATTAATTACACTGTGCTACACTAGTGCAATAGTTTTTTTTTAAAGCACACAATGAGTCGCGGGTGCCATATACACATAGGGTCGTATTCCAGAACTCTACTCAATGCTCAAGTCAGGATCTGAGTATGATTTCAAGCACTGGAAATACGACCCTAATGGCAGGGACTTGAGTATGATTTCGAGTGTTTTAAACCATACTCAAATCCTGACTTGAGCATTGAGTAGAGTTCTAGAATACGACCCATAGATAACCACAAATCACACCCAAACTCACGAGAGAAATATATGTAGGCCATGCAATTATTTCTCCCGGCCGCCCGGGAATAGATCCCGGGAATTTATTGTTTAAATATTGGCACCAGAAAAGTTAAGAGTAACACAGAATGCGTGCCAATAATTGGATTTTAAACTCGCAATAGAATTCTTCACTCTACAAGAAAAAAAAATCACGACATCGCTTTGCTATCCCTTGAGTATTATAAAGTATAATGTACGGAAATATACTTAAAGCTGAATTCTGCATGTCCCGTTTTATATGGAGTTATACAGTGCATGTGAACGAAGATTCTTAAAATCTAGGGTGGAACTCTGACTTTTAACAAATGCAATTCATATTATAGTAATTACATACTTTTAAACTTTCCTGTTGCATTGAAAACGTTGAACGTTTTAGGTTACACTGGCTGTGGTCACGCGCTGACTTTTGACGCGGTGATACATTTCCATCTCGGCGGGGAAATCTTCATCCATTTTCGCTATATTTTTCAAAATACCACAACACAACACTAACGGTGTCCTTTTCTGTACCAAAGTCGCATTCCAGTAAGCAGCGAGAAACGATATTGCTTTTTTCCAAATTTGAAAAATATAGTGAGTGGAAGAAGATTCCGCCGCCGAGATGGAGATGTAACACCGCATCACCAGTCAATCCGTGGCCACAGCCAGTGCAACCTGGCTGAAACCTGTGTCAAAATGTCACGTGATTATTGTAAACAATAAAAACACCGGTGGCCTTTTCCCAATAAAATTTAGCTCATTCTGAGTGCAGCTGTGTACTGACAAAAAATGACTTAGTTCACTATTCTTGAAAAACATCGATAAGTATATGTTAACCCACCTAACAATAGCAGCCATTAGCAGTGACAAGACCATGGATAAAGCACAGGCATAGTCCATGAATTCTGTGATGGGCGTGTCTCGACTATGGAATATGATAGACCACAGCCACGCATGGGCGCATATCTGTGAAGAAAATTGTGTGTTTAGTTTCTACATAGCAGAAATGCAGTAGACCCGGAAGCATACACCTGACACAGTATCAACTCATTTAGTGGCCTATGGCCTAAAATATACCTTTATAATACGTGCACATTATACTATGTACTTACCACAAAAAATATGAACCAAAACTTCAACATAGGTGTCTCCTTAACTGAAAACCGCTCATCAAAGTAGATCTTTAGAAACATGTAAGTGTGGGAGACAAGGTTCAGCAAGGAAAAGAAGGCTGAAGCTGGCTCCTGGATGCCAAGGAATCTTTTAAAAGGCCACTGAAACAAAAAAAATATATAATTATCTTTAATTGAAAGTAAGGAATCTACTAATTAGTAGTAGAAACTATTTTTCCGGATTTAAATCCGGAAAAATAGTTTCATTTCCTATGTGTAACAATCGCAAAAACCTAAGAACTCGATGCTTAATTAGTAATCATAATTTATTTAATAAAGAAAAACAATGACATTACTAGGTGCATGAGAACAATTAATGGCAATAAGCTAATTATAGTGTTCTTGAATTTCCTTTAACTAGCAATATCATTTTAGAATGTAATTAAATAAAAAAATTAACAGTGTAATATTACATGAGATTCCCACATACATCTTTCTCCAGCAATGGCACTAGCTAGCTTAGCAAGGGATGTCACCTGCGTACTAGTCACCTATGCATGGCTCTAAAACGATTATATGGCAGTATTTTTTTGTAAATACATATTCTTTTTGTATAATGGGAAGCACTTTCGCTTGATGCAAGAGTCAATCCTTCGCAAGCCATAGTTTAGTAAGATGAAATTTGACCAAAAAAAAACCTCTATTATTTGTAAGCTGCGGCTTGGTCATGTGACAACTCCAGTGCATCTGTTCAAGCTTTATAATTGGACGTAGTTAAAAAAAAGGATCCAATGCACATCCAGTCACTTTCGAGATATAGCAGTTTGAATTTTAAGTGTTTGTCACTCTTGTTTTATTTTCAAAACTTATAATGTCGTGTAACTCAGGGATATTTATATATGTTTATATGTTGGATTTTTTTGCTGATCTAAGACGTTAGACTTTTGGAATCCTTTGGTACATATTTTTGATAATTTTGTGGATTGGATCATTTTTGCTTAACTACGTCCAATTGTATATGACCCTGCATGCTCATGATCACGATACTTTTATACCCGAACTCCTGGCAACCAATATCATATTCCCCATTTCCATAACAAGTGTATAGTATTTATGTAACAAGTACGTTATAATGTACCTTAATAGTTACTCACCTACCCAATCTACCATATCCTTTTTAATTTAAACTCCGTACCTCGTCCATTATCTGTAATTCTGTATCCCTAACATTTTGATTGGCTATATATTTGAAAACAAAGCTATTAATAATAAGAAAAGGGGTTCTTCAACACATGTTCCTACTTAATTACTTTTAGACGAAAATCTTTTTAATTTTATTAAAGGCCTAAATTTAATATGAATAGAATACCAAATAATTTATTTTGTAAAAATTACAACACACATACACTAATAAGTCAGTAACTCAAAACAAATGGAAAACACATGCCTCACTACAAAAGTTAATAAATAATGTGGTAGCCTACCCTAATAATACACTACCAATAATTGAATCTATTAATAAATACCAAAAATAAATCTAATAATACAATATAAAGTTCTTAGGTTTTTGCAATTGTTACACATAGGAAACAAATTTTTCCGGATTTAAATCATGAATATTTGTTTTTTCAAACAAACCAATGTTTCAGGCTCTTCTTTACAGGTCCCATCGTCACGGTTGACTTGAGTTGAATTATAAACAAATAGTTTCATTTCCTATAATAATACAATACCAAAAATAATAATACAACAACAATACCATAACACAATTTGCCACGAACTTTTCGGTGAAGGAAAACTTATTATGGGACAAATGTCAACATCAGTAATAACAAAAGTTTGAAGAAAAATCAGCAGTAATTTTAAATTTATATGTATACCTTGTAATACACAATTTCTTTTTCACATAAATTTGCAATAAAATTAAAATATCAATTCAAATCCATTTCCTGCAACATTACAAGAAATTCAACTGCATCAGTGTAGCATCAAAAGAGCGGAGTGTTGATGTGGAATCTGTCATTCACTTAGCTTATTGTTGTCTCACTGAAAGTGCTATGACACTGATTTTCAGTGTACCTAGTTCAAAAAACATGATGAAACAAATTACAAGTGTTCACTATATAACTAAACACAATACCAAATCTATGTCTATTTAAAGCAAGTTATAGTAAAGAACTTCAAAACTAAAATTACTTTATAATTTCATAATGATAATGAAAAAATTTACCTTCCCATGGAACATAGGTATCTGAAGCCCCCTCTCCTGGAATGCAGCTACAGTATTCCACATGCAGGCATAACGGCACTCGTCTTTGCAGCTCCATTGCAGCAGTTTACACCATGCATCTTGATTGTCCGTGGCCTCTGCTGTGAATTTACCATCTGCCAAATAACAAATCATAGACACTAACTATATAGTAGTTCAATAAAACCTATTATTTTCATTACTTGTAAAATTACAGGCATGGGACTTGTCAACTTATGTCTCGGGGTGAAGGGCGCAGTGGCAGTGCCACTCAGATCTTTGCGATTTAAAGCTCTGAGTGGCACTGCAACTGTTATGGACAGGCGTGTAGCTTACCATCAGGCGCTCGACTTGTTCGTCCCGTCACTAAATGTTATAAAAAAAAACTTTTATACTATACGAGAAGTTGGATGGCAAACTTTGTATACCCATTGAGCTACTCTGGTAAATCTAAAGCGTTAAAATAACTTGACATTGAAATGCAGGGCCGAGACTACGGACTGTGTTGTAAAGTATTATTATTCTCATGAAACATTGTGGTTCTTATCCGTTATTTAACGAAGACAGCTAAATTAAGGGACGGAACTAACCTGAGGTGCAGTTCTGATTCACACAATTGTTAACACATCTTTGATAAAAAGGCGAACGGTCGCCGGCACTGGATAAAACGCAAGACAAATTTTGGATTAATATGTATAAAACAAGGATGCAAATGCTTGTTAGTTTCTGCATCTTGATTAGTAAGATCGAAATTTATCTGAAAAACATCGCTCATAATACACTTATGAGAATTTATTTAATAATTTCAAATAAAGCCACTGTCATTTAAAAATGCGTTTTGACAATCAATAATTCATTCAATGGCAATTAACATTGACAATGACAGTGACAAATGAATGAATGAACAGGCGAAGAATTTAAACGCCCCATTCACTACACATAGTGGCCGAAAGGTTACCATCTGACTGCCACGCAGAGGTCAGAGGTTGGATTCCTGACCGGGAGAAATATTTTATGGCCTACGACGAGAGAAATATTTATTTCTCTGGTGAGTTTGGGTGAGCTGCGGTTGTCTGTGTGTGTCCATGGCACCCGCGACACAGGGTTTCCCTAGTGCGGGGCTATGTTGAGTGTGTGCGTTACTACCTGCATGGCAATCCGCCGAGCAGGCAGGTGACTGCTCATGTTAAAGATTTATAAATTAGATATATAGGACCGAATAAGAGGTAATAGAATAAACTAAGCACAGTTAAAGCAATGTATGTTGTATATTCAGTGACAACACAAGTTACAAGATTACTATGGAAACGATCTTTATGGTAGGCACAAAACACAATAAAGGCTTCTTGCCTTAACATCCAGCCCTGTTTTTGATGCCTGTAAGGTTGCAAAACTCTAGGATCCTGGGTCCATATAAGGGCTTCGTCAACATGTCAGCTAGTTGCCGAGCTGCCGGTACTTTGCACACTTCGATGATGCCATCTGTTACACAATCTCGTATAAAGAAAGATCTTATTCTTATGTACTTCGTTCTTTGATGAAATTCATATGGCGGATTTTTAGCTAGCCTATTGCAGACTCATTGTCAATACATAGGCTCGTCGAACAATCCTCACCTGTGATATCTTTTATAATCCTCTTTAGCCAGATGATTTCACGAGCTGTTTCACTAGCAGCTACAATTTCTGCTTCTGTGGAGGAAATAGCCACGGTACATTGCAGCTTACTCTGCCAAGATATTGGTCCTCCAGCAAACAAACATAACATGCCAGTAGTGGATCCTGTATCATGATCACCTCTATGATCAGCGTCGCTTTAACATTCTAAGCCAAGGGCTTTGTCATTGCTGTAAATAATTCATTTCTTTAAGGATTTCCTTCTAAATAATGCCTTTCAAGTACCGTAATATTCGTTTTACATTTAGGACATCCTCTTTTGAGGGATTATCGATTCCAACAGCGGGGATGTCCAAAGCATTGTCCTCCTCTTTATTTTCCGTTTCAAATCATTAATAAGATGAGTCTTTTGTTTAAATTTTATTATGAATACGACCTAGTCGATTCGATTCGCCTTAATCTTGAATCAATTTGCTTAAAAATCGCATTGAAATGATTCGATTTAAAAATCGCGTAGTACATACGTATGTACATTATAAGTGTCAATGATGTACACTTGATGTACATACATTTTTTTTTTTTTTTCTTCTTCTTTCCATAAAGGAAAAGGCAAAGGTTTTACACCATACAGCCAAGTCTTGGTACATTATTCTTTTTTGGTGAAAAATAAAGGCATACGCCAAGTCTTCATTTCATTATACATTTTAAAGGCGATCAGCCTCGTCTTCGGTGGTCAAGTCAGGGTATAAAATTCCAATTCCGGTTAAAATTTCAACTCCGAGTGTTCGTCAAGTCCAGTGATCGACAATTCCGATTAATGCAAAATCCATTCTAAAGATCTTCTATTGTAGAACAAATGAAATTATAAATATGATTGTAAGTTTCAGGATTCTTGAGAAGTTCTTGAGTACCGCGCGGGATCGGACTCGAAGGTTGGTAAATAGATATTAGCTTATCAATTAAGGCTAAGCGCTGAATATTATAATTGGGGCAGTCAAATATTATATGGTCCAGTGTTTGATCAAAGTCTAAGTTGCATTCTGTGCATTTAGGCGACAGGGCTATTTTCATCCTATGTAAATGAGCATTGATGCGACAGTGGCCAAATCGTAAACGAGATATAACAGTATAAAATTTTCTTCCTTTGTATTGTTGTGATTTGGAAAACCAAGGTTTTTTCCCAATATCTTGATTAATTGAAGCGTACCAAGAACCTTTACGTATTTTAATATCGTTCCAACGAGTAAACCATTCAGAGAGGATATCTTTCTTGATCTTGGATATTAGGTCTGTATAATGGACACCATATGAGACAGTGGTGCCCTCATCAGTGTCCTGGCATCTATTGAAGTTGCATGCAGTTTTCGCAAGGAAATCTGCGCTTTCATTGCCTCTCACACCTACATGCGCCGGTGTCCACATAAATTCCACGTGAATGTTGTCATTACGTAGTTGCAACCACGTTTCCTTAATATCGTAAATAATAAAATTAACTTTGCTATTCATAGTTGTGCTTTGTAGAGACTTTAAGACGCTCATACTATCCGTCACAATAAGCCATCTGTTAGTTTGTTTGCTTTGTTTTATAAACTGGAGAACTTTAAGAATAGCCAGAGATTCCGCAGAAAAGATACTAAAACATTCTGTTAGCTTCTCTCCGTAACCGAATTTTAAATGTGGTACGTAAAAAGCAAATGAAGAGGTAAATGCCGACTTTGAACCATCCGTGTAAATTGGTATCAAATCTTTAAAAGTGGAAATTTTCTGATATATTTCTTCTTTGGTTTTCAAGTTTAGGTCAATGTGAATAGGGATGGTAATATATTTGCTTTCGTAGCTTCCATTAAAACAAGTCCAGTTCTGTTCACTTGTATATAGTTTATTGCGCAGTTTTATTTCATTTATGTATGAAAAGTCATGAAGAATAAACGGGGCAGAAGATAGTTCACGGAAGGAAAAGGAATTATATAAATTATATATTTTTTTTAAAAGAAGATTTGGATCTAACGAACATAAATGGAGAAGAAAATTAAATTTTAGATATTTAAATCGCAGGATTAAAGGGGGAACATTACATTCCACCTGCAAGGAATTAATTGGAGTAGTTCTGAAAGCACCTGTAATAGTTCTTAAGCTGTGGTTCTGGAGAATATCCAATTTCTGGACCAACTTATCATTTGATGCGTAGCAAAGGAAACCATATTCGAAGTGACTGCGTACTAAAGACTTATACAAATTCAATAGTATTTTGGGATCTGAACCCCAATAGGTTGATGATAATGATTTTAAAATATTTAATGCCTTTGAAGCTCGTGCGGTAATGTGCTCGACATATTTATTCCAGGACATGTTTTTCATAAAAGTAACACCTAAAAATCTTACGGAGTCTACAAAAGATAACTCTAAATTATTATAAAAAAGTTTGTAATGTTTTCTTTTAATGCCCACTCCATTAAAAATAACTACTTTGGTCTTATCAGCATTTATGTCTAAGTTTAAATATTTGAAATAATTATTTAATTTACTTAAAGCAAGATTTAATTTGTTTATAGTCAATTGTAAATCTGAGCCTGAGGAATAAACCACAAGATCATCAGCATATTGCAAGTTGCTTACTTCTGAACCCAAAACATAGTTGAGCTTGTTTATATACAACAGAAACACTAAAGGGCTTAATATCCCACCTTGACATACACCTTTAAAAGACTCTCTGGGGCCAATCAGATAATTTTTAACCTTGGCATAAACTTCTCGTCCATGCAAAAACTTAAAAATCCATAGTACGATTTTTTTAGGTAATCCTAGCAACATTAACTCTTTTGACAGTATGTGAAGATTGACATTATTAAACGCACCGATGATATCGAAAAAAATTGCGAACAATGTATTGTGCTGTTTAAAAGAATGAAAAATATCTAATTGAAGATGAGTTATACTCTCTCTAGCAGATCTACCTTTTCTAAAACCAAACTGGTTGGAGGGTAATATATTATTATGTTCTATATAGAATTCTAATCTCTGTTTTAAAAGTTGTTCAAATATTTTCCCCATACAAGATGTCAAAGTTATTGGCCTGTATGATTCATAATTATCCTTATCCTTATCTGGTTTAAGTGCAGGGATGAGACAATCTGTTTTCCACTGTGTTGGTATTAAATCTGTAGCCCATAGAGAATTATAAATATTCAGTATTACTTTTCTAGAATCTATACTGGCATACTTTAGCATCTTGTATGGAATACCGTCAAGTCCGCAAGCTGTATCTCTCCGTGAAGATATCGCTGCATTAAACTCCCCTAGTGTAAACTGGTTTGTTAAGTATTCAGAGTGAGAAGCTGGTACAGACTGTTCAATTAAATTCAATGGAGACTCAACGGTGTCTGGTGTATATTTTTTAAGAAAATTATTGATCAAGTCTATGTTGGTTATGACATTAGTGCTTTTGGGTTTCTTATTAAATTTTCTCATCATAGACCAGATATATGATAAAGGAGTTGTTCTGTTGAATGTTTCAGTTAGAGAATACCAGCTCAATTTTCTCTCATTATTTAAAATCAGTTTCCTTTGTGCCTGTTTTTGTTTAAAAGTCAAGTAATTTACTTCACTTGGATCTGCTTTAAAATTTAAGTATGCTTGTTTGACATCTTTTACAGCATTTGCACAGTTTTGATTCCACCAAGCTAAAGGTATTCTTTGTTTTTTAGGTTTTGTCAAGGAGTGATATATATGTGAAGGTGCACACTTGTGTTGAATTAAAGTAGATTGTTCTGCAGCTACATTAATAATGGCAGTTAATTCTGAATATGACTTTAATGGATTGGAAAGGTCGAAGTTATGGTTTGACATCAAACTATCTAACACCTTTGTATATTTTTTAAAATCAATGTTTCTACTACTTAAATGATGAGGAAAAGGTATATTGTTTTGATAATTAGGTACAGAATCATGGGAATTGTCATTAATTAATAATTTTGTTATTACAGGTAAATGAAAGCTACCAAGTGGGTCATCAGTTACTATCCAGTCAGAATTAAGAGCCAAAGAAGGCGAAACAATGGTTAAATCCAAGGCATTGGGCTGCCAAATGTGTGAGCCAACAGTTGTAGGATGTCCATTATTAAGTATGACCAAACCATTTTCATCTGAACTTTCATAGATGTCACGACCCCTAGCATCGATAGATGAACATCCCCAAAGCAGGTGGTGGGCATTAAAGTCACCTGCTAGAAATATTGGTTCCGGAATATTACGGATGAGATTATTTAACTTTTTCTTTGAAAACTGAAGAGTGCAATTACCTGGACTATATAGACTTATTATAGATAATTCTTTATTACAATATTTTAATCTAATAGCAATATTTTGAAGTGAATCATCATATTTTGTTTGTATACTAGTGTAATTTAATTTATTGTGAATTAGTATGGCTACACCATTATGAGTGTTGCCTGAATCTAACCTAACCAAGTTATATTCTTTAAATCTTATTTTGTGATGTGGTTTTAGCCACGTTTCACAAATTACTGCAATGTGAATATTGTTCTCATATAAAAATTGTGAAAAAATATGTCTATGGCACATTAAGCTCTGAGCATTCCATTGAACTATGTTCAGACTGTCCATTAGTGTAATATGTTATTTTGTTTTTCTACATTAAATGTCTCTATGAGGATATCTTTGATGGATTTTGAATTGATTTCTTTTTGATTCAATTTATTGAGGGATATTAATTTTACTATTGAATTTAATAAAATGTCTAAAATTTTTTCTGAGTTTAATAGGGAAATAAATTGATCAGTTTGTGAAACTTTTCTATGTAGGGAGGGAAATGACTTTTCATTTACTACTGCGGAATATGCTCTCTTTTGAAACAAATCTGTGTTTTGTTTTAATTTTTGTATTTTTACTGGACACTCCTTCGATATAGCTATATGCCGACCCTGACAATGTATGCAGGTAGCGTCTTTAGTGTCTATCGTACATGTTTTGAAGTTGTGGTTGCCTCCACATACTGAGCATCTTTCTGAGTTCTTACAAAATTTGCCAATGTGACCATACCTGAGGCACCGTAGGCATTGCTTCACTGGTGGGATGTAGGGTTTTACATCAAAACGCCAACTGTTGAGGTCTATGGATTCTGGCAGGACTGGGCAGGAAAAGGTAATGGACACGGTTAAGGTAGGAGTAATCTGAAAATCATTGTCAACTTTATTTCGTCTCATAAAACGTCTTATTTGTACTATGTGTTTTGTACTGGAGATGGTGTCATATATTTCTTGGTTCGATAGATTGATTGGAACGTGTGAGATGACTCCTGTCACCTCTGTGGCTCCTGCAGGAATTGTCGCTTTCATTTTATATGAATCCAAATATTTGGTGTTTGTGAGGGCAGCATTAGCAAACGAAGCTCGCTCAAATATGACTCCTATTTTATATTTGTTAATTCTTACCAATTGCTTAACTCCCTTATTATACCTTTTTAGGGAAGTGGACATACCCATCATGTCCCTGTCGCCTATCGGTTTTCCGGGATCTGTGGACTCAAAAAATACTATATATTCGAAGTTACCCCCATTTTCAGGGTAACTACGTGTATAGTTCAGTACTCTGAAAGGTTCGTATTTATTTGCAGCGGTACTGGTGGAGGATATGGAGTCGTTGTCCGAATCTGTGTTTTGTCGGCTTTCTTCTTCTCCGTCTTTTCCCTTCTTCCTCTTACGCTTCCCCATCGCAAAGCCGTTTGAAGAAAGTTATTTAACGAACAATATATAATTTTAAAAATTTATAATAAAAAATCGCGTCGTTCAGGTCGAAGTTTCCCGCGCTTTTTTTTTCGATGTACATACATCGATTTTTGACAGGTGCAGTGTGGCCAGGTCTACTGTTTTTCCAGTAGATCTACTGTTTTTGGACATCTAGTGTTCTACAGTTTTTTAGCGAAAATCTATTGTTTTTTAGGAATTTTCAGATTTTTCACTTTTAACTTTTCAACTATTCTTGTCAGCTTTTTAGATTTTGTTAATCGTCTTTTCCATTTACGACGTCGTACTTTGTTTTTGGAATGAAAGTGTAGAGCACATTAAATGAAAAATGTTGTAAACTATTGTTACTGGATACAATGGGTACTTTATGCACTCCACTGAATAATATTTTTTTTAGCTGGTCCGTAAATATATCTACTAAAAATCTTTTACGTGCATGCATTTAGTATTAACGTGATCTCACCTGTGACTCTCGGAACATATTGAACATTTGTCGGAGTGAAAAAAAAATGTGGTCAAATCATAGAACATCGTCCTTTCATTTTTTTTTTTTTTTGAGTATTTTATTATATTTGTTAATCACAGGTCTAGAGAATGCGGGGAAGCAACGTATATGGCATTATTATCCAAATACAATTTTTATTGTCAGATACTCCGTAACTTCAGCATCTACTGTTTTTTCCTCTATCTACTGATACGTAGTATCTCTTATTAGTTTGTGATCTGATTTTCTGTGCAATATCTTCCGATTTTTTCAGATTTGACCTAGCATGGCAACACAGGACAGGTGTCAGTCAACTCCTTGTGAGTATAGTGTTCTGTGGTCAACTCAGTCAACTGTCAAATGTGCAATAATTTATTCGGAATTTTTCTGAGAATTAAGATATTTTCCGGAAAAATTTCCAGTTTCAAATTTTTCGGAGAATTTCCCGTGTCAAAGAATCGTTTGCTGAATTCGTTATGAAGATTAGAAGACATGAAAACGTGATTTTTTTTTAAGCTACTGACTGCTCGTTCACTGTGCCGACTTCCCTCAAAGAGGAGTAATCCACTACGTTAGAAGAACGAGATCGCCAGTACGCCAATGACTGTATGAGTTGTATGATTATAAATGTAGGGCCACCAATGATCATAAATACATCATTCACAACCACTAAAAAACAAAATATAACCTAAGTTTAAATAAATATACTTGTATAAATGTGTGTGTCTCCACTCATTCTTACTTTAAACTGCATCAGAACGAGACTATACTTTACCTTAATTAATACACAATGGTGTTAACATATCGCACATTATATGCAATAAAAGAAATAAAACAACCACGGAATTATCTACGAAGTAAATTCATCGACTCAATTAGACTTCATGTAAAAGGCGGCACTGGTGGCACTGGTCTTCCAAAGTACGGAGGACTTGGAGGTCAGGGAGGATGTGTTTACTGTGTTGGAAAGGAAGATGCTAACTTAAAATACATACAGAGCAAGTTTCGTGCTAAAACTATCATTGCTGGCCATGGTGAAGACAGTAGAAAGGCGAAAATTGTAGGAAATCCTGGTACAGATGTGAAACTAGAAGTTCCATTAGGAGTTACAGTGTATAGAGAAGATGGAAAAGTTTTAGGCTCCATCGACCAAGAAGGGGACACAGTGATAGTTGCGAGAGGTGGCCCTGGAGGCACTAAAGATAACAACTTTTTTGGTCACTTTGGACAGGTGCACCACATCCGTTTAGACTTGAAATTAATTGCCGATATCGGACTCGTCGGTTTCCCAAATGCGGGTAAAAGTTCTCTATTGAAGGCTATATCCAGAGCCAAACCAAGAATAGCCAATTATCCATTTACAACTATCAAACCTAACAAGGGCATCATTCAATATGCAGATATGCGACAAATCTCTATAGCTGACCTGCCAGGTCTCATTGAAGGTGCCCATGTTAATGTAGGACTAGGCCATGCATTTCTTAAACATGTAGAAAGAACAAAAGTGTTACTTTTCATTGCAGATGTTGAAGGTTTCCAATTAAGCCCTAAACACACAAAAAGATCGTGCTTGGAGACTGTATTACTTTTGAATAAAGAACTGGAGCTTTACAACACTGACTTGTTACAGAAGCCTGCAATATTGGCTGTGAATAAGATGGATTTAGAAGGAGCAAGTGATATATTTAACAAAATTAAAGAATCATTAATGAATATCCAAAATGTCATCCACAAAATTCCTGAAGAGATCAGACCAGAGAATTTAATAACTTTTGAAGATATTGTTGGCATTTCTGCAATGAAGGATAAAGAAAGTGTAGAGGATCTGAAACAACTGCTAAGGAAGAGACTAGACCAGTTTGCAGATGAAAACAATTTAGATATTGTCAACACTAGTCAGATGTTAAGACGAAACAGGGCTATGGTTAAAGAAAGAGGGCCTCAGATCACTTAACTAAACGTAACTCAGTTATTGGTAATCAATAATAAATCAAAATAATTATGTTGTTGATTTTTTTTTAGTCTCCAATATCCTCACTCAAATGCAAAAATAATGAAATTGGGAATTGAATTTTTTTGATATATACCACTAAATAAAAAATGTTATTGAGAGGATCCAATTTTTATTAGAACAATTAAAAGCTCTATAATAGCTTACTCTACTCAATAGTACAGAGAGCAGCACATCAAGTCACACATTGACAGATCTTGTTCTTTTGCATTTCATTTGCATTGGATGGGATATTTAAACAAGTGTATAGTTGATGTGCTGTTAAAATTGTACATTCCCCATTCCAAGCCGTGGTCTATCACAGTACATTCTTAATTTACCAATTTGACAGGCAGAACTTGTTGCAGATGTTATCCAAATAATAAGCTACTGAAGAGATTTTAAACAAATATCAATAAAGATATTTAAGTAATAAAAACATCAAAATCAGTCTATGCCATGAGCACTTGCTTCTATATATCAGTGTTTAGGAAACTGCCTGCCTTTTTGTCCTAGTTTTTTCCTCATCCCAACATATAATAGCATTCATTAATACGAAAATAAGTCCCTTAAAATAATAAGCTAACACTTAAGTGCGATAAGGACATCGATTCTTACAAGACAATTTTTGTAACATAACAGGATCAATAAACATTCAAATATAACTCGACGGCGTTTGTTGTTTTATTCATGCAGAAAACACAATTAGTGCACACTCGCTGTTTTACTTTGACACGATGAAAACGGTATCCATGCTAGTAGTGTTTATTGTACCATCAAGCATTAGTTTACCTGTTGACCCCAAGAGATCTTGGCAAATACATATCTAGATTGTAGAAGTATACTAAAGTGAAATCTAAACATAATCATTTATAAAAATAAAAACTTTTGTCGAACGCCTTTTCATAAAATTGTTTCAGTAGGTAGTAGTCGGAAATAGCAAAAATAATAAGCTATATTTTCTTCTATAAGTGTTAATCAGTTTTGCATTTGCCATATGGTCAGTCCTTCACTCGTTTACACCTGCACTAAATATATACTAGTTAATTCCTAACTAAATACCATTTATTACATCACTTTATTCACAACCTACTAAAGAAAACTATAGTCAACCTAACTTTATATTTTTAAGTAATTAATTAGAAATTGCTATAATACGTTAACATTATAGAGAAACACAACATGCAGGATAACAGAATAAGACTAGAAAATATTAGCTTACACACTAAATAACTAGTAGCCTAAAAGGGCAAGTTCTGTACTGTCGCCACACAAAATTACGCTACCTTTAGCTATTTTATTTTAAAGCTGGAAACTCTTCGATATTTGACTCGTAACTGTAACTTCAAATTGTTACGCGAACTATGCATAATATTTCGGAACCACTTATTATAGGGACAGTACATTGTTACAAAGAAGTTAACAGTTGAAAATTAGTCCTTACGTCAAATCAATATTCTAAAAGTTCATAAAAAATCTGTCCAAGTTGCCTACTTTTCACGTTATAATTAATGGAATATTTGTTACGTTCATGATATAAATCGAGTTACAAACGTTAAGCCAGATACGTGACAAATTACAAAAATAGCGCTGTTTTTTATCTATCGCCGTAGATAGTTTATAAATTCGTGCAAGTGTCATTAGTAGAATTAACAACTAGTGCTTCGACGGAGAGACGCGTCAGTCGGCGTCGCCCGCGGCGGGCGCGTCGGGGTCGGCCAGCGCCGCGCGGAGCCAGTCGAGCCAGTCCGCCGGCAGGGGCTGGCCTCAGTCGTAGCGCTCGGCGGCCTCGGTGGCGGTCTCGGCCACGGGCAGCGCCGGCCGCGGCGACGAAGACCCCGCCTCCGACGCCGGGGGCGACGCCGCGAGTGTCGGCGCCTCGCCGCCGTTGCCTGCCGCCGGCCACACACGTTATCGACTGATCGCCACCAGACGTCACGAACGACATTACGAGACAAACTGATGAGATTCGAAATATATTACCGGTGCTGCTAGGGTTAAGACGATTCTCACTGGGCGGGGAAGGCCGCTGCTTCTTGGCGGCGGGGTCTTGCACCTCCTCCACCTGCGCCGGGCACTCCAGGTGCACTAGGTGGAATACCTGCATGACGTCGAAATTTAAAATCACGTATAAAGAAGTGTGGACCTAGTACCGAGCCTTGTAGAACCCTAGTAACAATGGATAGACAACATATAAATAAGATCATAACCAATGCAGATTATCCATTGTTGTGAATGCCTGCCGATGCTATAACAGAACATTTAGCACATATAAAATTAAATTTTTTCAATATAACATGATCAACGCAATCAATCGCTTTGAATAGATAAAAACCATTCCACTTACCTCATTGACAGAGTTATTTGTTCCGACGATACGAATAATGGACACTGGTCGCGGCGAGAAATAAATCACCTGCCATGATCTGTTAACAGACGCGTAATCAAAATTTATATAGGTCATCAGATCCTGACTTCTTGGTGACAATGGGACTGTTACGGACTCCTTTGTATATATTTTTTTTTCAGGCTGTTATGGTTACAGTGATTTGTTGATTACATGTATTGTGCCAATGAAGTCAACTTTTATTTGCGGAAAATAATGAGTAGTTTGTGATAGCCGAAACGAACCCGAACGAACGAACAGTGTCAGTGTACCTTGAGAGTATACCCTTTCAAACAAAACAATTTTCCAAATCGGTGGACAGTTGATGGAGAAATTGGTGAATACATGGACATCCTAGAAAATTTGAGGATTTTGTTCGATTTTCATGGGATCCCCTCATCAGATTCTAACTTGGTGACAATGGGCCACCATGAGAGTGCACCTTTTCAAACAAAAAGAGTTTTCAAAAAATTTATGGAGATACTGAAAACATACATACAGCCGAACGTATAACCTCCGGCTTTTTTTTTAACTCGGTTAATAAGGTTCTTACCGAATTCCAGGAAACACTTAGAAATTACACAAGTAAATTGATTTCGTGAAGTCTCACCTGCAAGTATCCCTTGTGCGGTCACAGACCATCTCCCAGTCCCAATAGTTGAGCGAGGTCTCGACGTAATACGAGTAGTGCCTGTAGTCGCAGTCCCATAGCAGCATGCGGATGGACGAAAGCAGGTAGGGCTGCGCCAGCTGCACCACGATGGCGCCCGAGCCCAGCTGGTGGCACGTGTAGCCCTGGTCCCAGTCGTAGTGCTCCGTGTCGCCGTTTAACAACGCGTTGCGGGACCGACTGTCGCAATCAGAGAAAGAACAATGACACACCGCAGCTAATGCCGAATGTGACGAGAGAGCGCAGAGATCTGTACAGTACCTGATGCCCTCGATGACCACGGCGGACAGCTCCACGGTGGCGACGTTGTGCTGCGGCTTGATCAGCCCGTTGCACAGCGGCGGCACGCGCGCCGTGTGCATCGCCTCCATCGCCACCGCGTGGAACACCTGCGCCATAATTATCGTGTTAGAGATGCCAGCTTGAAATTTTGCTTGGCAAGTCATCACACCCTTTCCTTGGAGGAGACCCGTACGTCAGAAATCGTGACCCGAATTTCGTTGTTTAGAGACCACACAATACAATACAAATTGCAAAAAGTGACCTTGTTGACAGTGTTGCTGGTGCCCACGATCTTGATGAACTGCACGACACGTGGCTCGAAGTAGAGATTCTGCCAGGAGCGGCAGAAGTAGTTGCTGTGGTCGATCACGCGCACCCAGTCCTTCTGGTCCACTGATACCTCGATGTAGTACGCGTATGATCTAAGGAAAGGTTGCGTCTCAACATTAGAGGTCTTTTGCGAACCAATATCTATTTACAAAGAGCAACCCCTAGAGTTTCCTATCGGTTCTTCACAGAGGTACTGCCTCACGAACGGGTAGTAGCCTTTATCAATTTGAAGTGTAATTTGCTTAGGAAATGAAACCACTTTTCCGTCAATGAATATATAGCTGATGTCAAACACCGTCGCGTAAACAAGTCTGCAGTCTGCGAGCATGTCATGGATAAACCTACACATTCAATGAAGTTTGAAAAACCCCAGGTCCTTGCAAAAGAAGTCCGTTATCTACCCAGGATGCTGCGAGAGGCCATTGAAATTAAAAAAACAACCTAATTTCAACAGGGAATATGGTTTCTCCGTACCACCAGTTTGGGATCCAGTATTTCTTCTAATGAAAAATCTCAAACAGACATAAGACTGCAGTACTAATTAATATGTTTTAGTTTATTCTAATTTCTATTATTAATTAATAATAAATTGAACTTAATAAAAATTCATTCAATAAAATAATTTGTAAAACTTAATATAGCGTAAACTGGAATGTTTTCTTTGTAAAATTAAAAATAAGGTATTTAATTAATAACTATTGTAACTATAGTGAAAAAATAAGGTGGTTTGCATTAGTACTAGTCATAACTGGTTGAAGACTGTACCACCTCAACCAACCGTGACCATGGGACCGGTAAAGGGCTCGAAACGTCGGTTTGTTTGAAAAAAACAAATATACGCGATTTAAATCCGGAAAAATTGTTTCATTTCCTATGTGTAACAATCGCGAAAACCTAAGAACTCGATATGTAATTTGCTTCTTTATCAAAAACGATATTTTGAATTCGAACTTGAATAAGGCAGCCTGTCAATAATCTCAGTACAGAGTGCAAAATAAACCAACCTCAAATGTCATTCATCCCCTAGTTTGCCACCCTTAGAGGTTGAACATTTTCTTCAAATTTAAATGGGACCTATACTGAGGTATCCTCTTTCCAACAAAAAATAATCATCAAAATCGGTTCACAAATGCCGCCGGAGTTATCGCGTAACATACACACAAAAAAAAAACAATCGAATTAAGAAATTCCTCCTTTTTTTAACCGACTGCGCGCAGGCAAATTTGTTGTCACCAATCTGAGGAAATCGGCTCAAGAGACGCTGCTGATACCTGTTGTCGCGGTCCCAGAGCAGCAGCCGAACGTGGTTGATGATGGTGGTGGTGGCCAGGCGCACGATGATGCCGGGGTTGTCGGCCGCGTCGCTGATGGTGTGCCGGGTGTAGCCGCGCTCCATGTCGTAGGTGTCGGTGTCGCCGTCCAGCAGCGCCGACCGCATGTCCCCGGAGATGACGCGCGCCCCGCGCTTTGGCGTCGCCACGTTCTCTTCTTGCACTGGAATATGGCGCCGACTTCGTCAGAGCCTCCACATTTTCCAGGCAATCATTTCGAGAACTGACGAGACTGACACTTACAAAGGACCCCTCGATGCTTCAAATCCGTGCTCTTCGTCTGTGTCTTCTCTTGTATTGCGTCGAGCAGCATATCGGGTGTAACCAGCGCGAAAGGACGCACCACTGTCAGCAGCTCTTCCAGGCTCATCAGGGTTAGCCGCACGCATTTTAATATTTTCTCCTATGTAGCAGATGAAGGTCAATTAGATTCCTTTATATTATAGTTTGAGATATAAAACGTTACTTAAAATAGAGAAGTAAAAACTGGAATAGCATAATATAGTTACAATAATGATTTTTACACTTTATATTGAAATTCATTACTAAAAAGTCTCGACACATAATTTAGGGGTCCATGACAGCTTGAAATTTTTAAATGCATTCCTATTAACGCAACTTACCACTTGCGCCTGCCCACTTTCTGACTTGACCCAGATTTGGTTAGCGTTGAACCAGCTGCAAACTGCCTTGAAAATATCTACTTCGGGCGCGAAAAACGAGTCGCGCTCGAGTAGACCTTGCAGCGCTTCCTAAACAAAAAGAAATGTCAATAGAAAATACTTTTTGTTACTTTTATGTTTAATATTAAATTGACAACTTACCACAGACAGTTGAAGAAAAGACTCGTGTTGCAGAATATCTGTAGCGTTTCTATCGAGGAAATTGTAACAGTAGTCTAACAGAGCATCCAGTCCATACAGTCTGTAAGAAAAATTGTCATATGCATTGTCAGTTTGATATAACTCCCTATGCTCTTCTTAGTATCAGTATAATTGGCATCTCATACATAATGAGAACTTCATCTGCTGTCCAAATGATTATCATACCTGGCAGCATCAAGCACGGCGCAGACGTTCCTCAGTGCCAGCACCTGCCGCAGGTAGTCCGAGATCGCCTGCTCCAGTTCCTGAAAATTGAACTGATGCGCCAAACCCAGCATGTCCAGCACTGTATCCTCACGCAGTAGCGAAAGACCCATGTGACCTACACAATAAGAATACAATTAAAGGTCACTGATAACATCTAACACTACATGTAACATTTTAGTGAAAAACTAATACCAGATACCTGAATAAACATAGCGCAGTAAAGCTTTGAATGCCTGCAATGGTGCTTGTAACTCCACTTCAGTCTGAAACAAAAATAATCATGCCAAAACAAGTGCACCTACATGTGTCTATCACTTTCTTTGACCACACAACTACAATGTAAAGCAACGCTATTGAACATAGTAATACAAAGTAGTAAGAAGGCAACCACTAACATGAATTTTTCATCTTTTGTGCACCCACAAGAAGAATATTGTTTGTTTTGTCTTCACAATGCATAGCAAACTGCTAGGTTTCTAAATACTACAATAAATACCTGATTAGATTCACGCATGCCACCATAAAGCAACGCACGGAAGTAGTCACTGCTTGCCGCGAGGATCACCTTGTGTGCTGGTATCCTATGACCCTCTACTATGAGAGTAACATCTGAGTATTCTGATGAAAGGCATAGTGACCCTATGTGCTCTGAGAGGTGACCTGCAAGAAAAAGGTTAAAAACTGACCAAAGAGACACAGAATTCTAGAACTGGGGAGCTGACTCTACATGTGACTAATCACAAAACCCGTCTGCTTGTAGCCATTTGACTGATGGCATGGTTATATGATGAACAAAAATAAACTAACCAAATTAAAAATACAATGTTAAGAAGGTACATTCTCACATTAATTTATATAGGTAAATAAATGTTCTGAAGATCTCTGAGTGTAAGTGTTTAAACCCGAGATATTAACACTATTGTAATACAGAGTCATAAGTTCATAATATTGCCATTAATAATAATAATAATAATAATAATAAGAACGCACACACTCAACATATCCCTGCACTAGGGAAACCCTGTGTTGCAGGTGCCGTGGACACACAAATTACACCCAAACTCACGAGATAAATAAATGTAGGTCATACACATATTTCTCCCGGCCTGGGAATCGAACCTAGGTCCTCTGTGTGGCAGTCTGGCGTGGACACCATTCGGCTTCAGTGGCAGTTATTAATATATCATCATTATTTTTATTTCAACAGGGTGTAATCTCACAATAATTCAAGAGATGAGCAAAAAAATAATTTCAAATTGGTGAAAAAAATGTACAAAAAATTTGTACAGGGAACCAAAATTACAAATTTAAACTCATAATTTTACTAATAATTTTCATTACTATGACTAAATTCATCAGTTGAATTTTTTGTTTGCAGTTTTTTATTTCCATACATCAATGTTGCCGATCAGATTCCTAAAGCAGAATTAAAAGTGTACTTCACAGAATAACTAATAAATTTGTCACACTGATATCATTTTACTATAGTTTTGACTTAAATTGACAAAATTCTGATTACAAAAATTTTTCATAAAGTACTTTACAAATGTACTTTACAATCTCTTTACTAATAATTACGCTGTAAACAAAAATTTACTGTATAATAAAGTAACACTGACTGATATGTTCAATGTCGCCCACCACTCGGGAGCCAGTGCTGGTGTTGTTCACACTCATATATTGGTGCTGACTGCTCATTTTTACCGGTTCGATTCTGATGTCTTCAATACCTGCATCACACACATGAAGTACTTAAGTATAAGAAGTATAGGTGAATTCAAGGTACAAGGTATAAACAACACCATGATTTCACTTTGTGACTGTCAATTTAAATAAACATAAAAATTCGCTGGGTGGCTGATGTCACAACGTAACAATGCGTTTTATTACAATATATAATTTGTTCTAGTAACGACAACTGCTAATTATGAAAAATTAAGACATGCATTCCCACATATTGGTAACTTGCAAACAATGTGAATATTATAACAAATTAAATAATACGTACTTGAGCTACAGAATTTACAAAGCTACAAGTCACTGCCTTCTGGTTATTTCCGTCATGTTGAAGTTATAATACTATTCAGATTCATTTAAAAAATACAGATTTTGATCAAGTAAGTATTAATAAAATTTTAATTTCGATGTTTATTTTCGACTACACGTATTCGCAATCACAAACTTTGACATTTGTGAATTTTGTGACCACAAATTAAAATTGTATACATATTGTCATTTTGTGACAAATCCAATTTGTGTGTCTATTGTGAACTATATAGTGACGTACCGAATCTTCTACTATGTTTTTGCAGATAATTGAACGAATGAATGCGACAGCAAATTGAACCGTCTCTAATTTCTCTGAATTTCACATGATATTATTCTACCGAAGAAAAGCAAACAAAAGAAAAATCTACTATCCACTACCACTTTTTTATAAACAGGATTGAAAGTTTAAGATATAAGGAAATAGTATTTTGGCGACGAATATTTTTTACCCCGTGACACTGTGTGGACATCTTTACAATAAAAATAACAATAGAGCTGTGAATACACGTTACAAACTCACTCAAACAGTACCTTGTTATAAGCAACAACATAGTGCTATTTCATAAAGTCAATGTATGCGCTGACAAAGAAAATGCGCTGACGTACCGGTGACACTGGCGCTGAATTTATTTTAGCTGTATTCAAGGAGGATCTAACCACTACGCTGTATTAAGGATTATCCACACATATCAGGGCCGTGCCCGAGACGTGGACGAGGCGTGCTAGTTTGTATGAACTGCGGGCCCGTCCCGGCGCCGGCTCGGTCACGGACATGTGTGAACGAGTTCATGCAAAATAAACGCAACGATATTTTTTTGAGCCCCTGACGGAGCAGGGGCCGTCCACGTCCGGCACGGCCCGGATATGTATGGATAGACCTTTAGCTAACAGGCTGTTTTACATAATATTTTTTTTATCAGAAATAACAAGTTACTTTTTTTACAATAAAATTTCGTCACGTTTCTACGATTTATGCAACTATTTTTATGTTCGGTTCTTAAAAATAGTTCACCTAGTAGAATAGTCTGTGCTTAAAAATCATCACTAGTCGCCAACGCCATCTAGTTATCTTAATGTGCACTGCTAGAAAAAAAAAACACTCATTCCAGCACAACCACATAATATAAATTATTTTTGAAAATTACATTATTCTATGTAAGTACTGTATGAAACCACTAAAATTAATAATAATACGTTTTCGTTCGAAACGTTACATTGTTATACGGAATGACAATTAAACATGCTTAAATCACTAAGTTAACGTGTTTGATTATTAATTATTTTTCTTGCAAAAGTATGCAGGTACAAAAATAAACTATCTGTTGACTTTTTTTCAGAACAGTCGGGCGCGAAAGCTTCGTCATATGAAAATGCTTCTCTATCATTGGCCGAAAATTTAGGTAGTGCCAACATAACGGGAACATTTTATATTATATTTATGTTGTCAGCATTAATACCAGTTGTGCTCGGCAGGTAAATATCGTCGTTGTGTTAGAGATAATTTATTTTTATTTATTGGTTTTTCGACACGAAAACGGGATTGTAATTCTTGAAATAATCCTTATAGACTTGTTCTTTGCACTGATATACTTAAATGTAAGTAGCCAAGCGCGGTGTTAGTGTTTCGTGAACTTTTCTTTAGAAGGTTGTGGTTCTGTAAAAGTAGCTGCACAAATTGATAGAGTGCGATACTCGGGAAAGAAATATGTAACGAATTCTATAAATATTACCACTTTGTAATTATATTTTGTTTATTTGTTATTCATACCGTTGACACTGTAAAAAGGGATGCTCACGACAAGTGAATTTTTATGTCCATGGAGAGGATTTTCATTTCACAATTTTTATTTTTACGTGCATTACAGGCAGCGAATAATGAATTGTACAAGATAATCGAGTACCTGTAATGAATTCGATAACGTTCACGGTGTCGAGAAATGGAGAAACAACAGAGTAATTCACTTCAAAACTTTGATGACTCAAAATCGGAAATTTTGAAAAAAAGGCTACTGAAATCTGCGAGCGCCTCCGGCAACAACAACTCGCCGCAAAATAGCTCGCAGAATGTGGTACTGAATACGATACGTGTGAGTTGAGTTATATTGGCCATATAAATTTGTGTTAAGGTGTTCTCAATGTTGAAAGTGTTTTTACATTTCAGGCGCCAACGTCGAGCAGCATGATCGTGTCCTCTGTGCAAGCGCCGCAAAGCTCGATGCCTATCACACACAGCCTTGTGACCCACTCAATTGCTCCTGTGAAGATTCATACCAATAGCACACCATACCCTTTGCAGCTGTCCACCGTACATGTACCAGTGCAAATACCAGGATCCACTTCTAATATCAATGTACCAGTGCAGCTTTCCAGCTCTACAAGCAGCGTGCCAATACAGATAGCACCAGTGAGCTTACCATTACAAATGTCCGGGACCACAAGTGTTCCTGTGCAATTGCCAGCTGGTGAGACAATAAATGTCCCACTTCAGCTTCCTGGTGCCAGTCAGAACATACTGACATCACCAGCTATGCCCTCTATGCCCATATTGCAAAACTCCAATCAACCTCTGGGTTCTATATTTCATGTGCACATGGGGTCGAACCCTCGTTCAGGGAATATGGATGGCATTTCTGATATGACTGTATCAAGTTCATCCCAAATTCAATTGCCGGACTCATCGGGAGGTCATGTGAAAGTTAACACAACTTCATCAGTGTCTCAAGTGCAAATGGCTTCAAGCCCTGCTGTGGTGCAGATTCCGAATTCATCGAGTAATTCAATACAACTCACTCTACCAAACACAAATACGGGAGCAGTGCAACTGAGAGGTACTGCAAGAGCTGTGCCCCATGTGGTGTATATCCAAACACCAACTGGCCTTAAACCTGTGACAAGTACTGATGTCATAAGCCAAGCCAGCACCAGTGGGAATCCACCTCAAATTATTGTAAGGAGACCTGTAAGTACATCTTGTATTTTATGTTCTCAATTTTTTATATGTACGTGTCTACATCATGCTCAAAACTCGCAAAGTGTAAAGTAACATGCTCTACATTTAAAATATACTTAATTTTTTTTTAGCTTGTTATTATATTAATGGCGTGTAAATTGCAATTCATGTACAAAAAAAGATAAGGAGGATCACCTAGACCTGCTACTTATATTACAAAGATTTTTTAATCAATATTATGTTATATTTTTTATAATAAGCTACACATTGACAGATCTGTTATTATTCTGTTCCACTGGAGGCAATATTTGAACATAAGTGTATAGCGTGATGTCCTGTTGACTGTACATGTTTACTTAATACAAAAACAATTTAAACAAAAAGCAATACATAATATGATTGTTGAAAAGCCAGAATTACAAAACTAATTAATTGGTCTTTTTCTTATTTTCAGGTAACAAGTAACTCTAATATTTTAATATCAAATGTATCAAGTAAACCCAACATAGCCCCTAAACCCGGGCAGAAGTCTTCAATACTGGCTCCAGCCAATACGGCCCAGCCCATTGTCATTCAAAAGCCAAAAACAAATGACAAAATGATGGTTCCTGTGAGCATTGCACCTGGAAACCAGGGCAAACAGACCATAGCCTACTTGAGTTCAGTGAAAAAATCAAAACAGTTACCTGAAAATCAATCAATACTAATATCTAACAATCAATCAAATGTTAACACAAATAACCAAAAACTATTCCTGACCCCAATGAATATGCCAAAAATACAAAATACCAAGTTCATTTTACCTGTCACTTTACCAGCAACTATGGCTACAAAAGGGCCCATAATAAATCTCCAAATTGCTAATGGGCAAATTCAAAACGATCCCCAAGGCAACAGCATTACTGTTATGAGGGACACAGGTCCTACAGAGTCTTCCGAGATGCCTCCACTGCAGCCTTTAGCCAAAGTGATCAATATGAATGGAAAAGAAAGTTTTAATGCTAATTCAGTGCCCCAAAGTCCTAAAAGTGATAAGACATTTACAGTCTCTATCCAAGGGTCTAGAGCTGAGCCCACTGGAGAACAGGGGGAGTATACCTTGTCTATTCCAGAAACAAATGCAGCAATGAATGATGACATTTACACAGTGTCCATTGCTGATGAAGAGGGTGGTCAAACACAAGAGTCTTTCACATTGGCTATACCAGAAAAAGGAAAGAGTTTGCTAAACAAGAATGTAATTGACAGGAACGACTTGACGCCGGTTCCCGTAGCTGCGCCCGCGATTCTTCGACGCTCTTATTCTGACAATAGTGACAGGAAAACTGCAATGAATACAAACATAAAGAGGCGGATTTCTCTTTGTAATGAAAATTTATCTGTTAAAAGTTATAAGCCAAGTATATTTCCTGCCAAAAATGATAATCACAATGAAGCAACAGAAACCAATGACGACCATCGCGTGCCATCGCTGTTTTGCGATGAAAAACTCGAGGAAGTGAAAGTCAACATAGAAGATTCTGATAATGAAGATTACAAAGATATGAAAGGTGAGAATGATAAACACAACCATCAAAACTACTATCACAAAATTGATAATCTTATGAAAAGGGATCCATCACATAGGTTGAAAGGAGATAGTTTTGATTATACTTTGGAGGAAGATCCTCCTGGTTTGATTTGGAATAACGGGGTTGCTCATCTTCAAGGGAGCGGGCTGCAGTTCCACACTAATGAGTTTGGACTTATTGACGTCATTGATGTCAGTGACGCCGATGAGATGTTGATGCCGAGCGCTAAGTATCAGACGCCGCTTAAGCAGCGGTTGGAGAGAGGAGGGCGGGAGAAGAAACCGACATCACCAGAGGACATGTACCGATGCGACGGGTGTGGCTGCCACGGCATGGCCGCAGAATTCATCACCCCTAACTTTTGCAGCATTGCTTGCCAGAGTGATGTGCAAAAGCTAATGCAGAAGAAAAAAGACAGAGAAAAGATAGAGTTGATAAAAAGACGAAATAGAATGAAGAAGTTGCTAATGAGAAAACAGCTCTCTGATACTGATTTACTTATAGAAAATAGAGAAGATAGAGTTTCATTAAAACATTACGACTCGATGCCGACAGATCAACTATCAGACGTCGTCAAAGTGGAAGATATGATTGAGAACGAAAAGTATCCATGGATGTGCGGGAAGAATGGTTTTTCGTGGATGCGCTATTTGGATATTTGTAAAGCTAAGGCTGCTCCTGTGAAGCTGTTCAAAGATCCATTCCCATATAACAGAAATAATTTCAAAGTGGGAATGCGCATGGAAGCGATTGATCCGCAACACCCGTCGCTGTTTTGCGTAGTGTCGGTGGCTGAAGTACAAGGGTACCGGATGCGGCTCCACTTTGACGAGTATCTGGATATATTTGACTACTGGGTTAACGCGGACTGCCCGGATATCTTTCCGGCAGGGTGGTGCGAGAAGAACGGGCGCTCGCTGAAGCCTCCCGCCAGTTACACGAGGAGTAACTTCTCTTGGCCGATGTATCTGAAGCAGGCACACGCTATTGCTGCGCCGAAACAACTCTTCCCACATGTGACTACGCCTGTAAGTATTATAACTAGTTTATTCTACAGTAGGTATTGGTGAACTCCTGTTAGCCAGAATCCTGACAATGTATCCTTTACAGTTGATAAAACCAAACGGCTTCCGGATTGGTATGAAGCTGGAGGCGGAGGACCGCAAGAACGACCTGGTGTGCGTGGCTACGATCGCCGATATGCTGGATAATAGGCTACTTATCAACTTCGACTCCTGGGACGAGATGTACGACTTTTGGGTGGACCCTACTTCTCCATACATTCACCCTGTTGGTTGGGCTGAGGAGAACGGCGTCTCGCTTACTCCGCCTAATTGTAAGTATAGTTTATGCTTATTTTGTGTTGAGTCAATGGTCTCTTGAATTTAAGTAGACGCTCTTCAAGTAGAGGAATCCGAAGATTCCAGTTTCTAAAATAAATGCATTATTCATACTAGGCAAGTATACACATACACAAACTTTATATTGTTTACAAGTGAGTCGTGGTTATTGTTTATTGTGGTTTGTAAATCAGCATTTGAGTTATATTCATTGATTTTGTACATCAGCTTTGTCCCAGATTGGGGATTTCCCCAGAAATCTACTCGTATTCCACATAATATCTTTCCCTTTATCACAAGTGGATGTAGCTTATTTTGATGGGAAAAGTTGTTTACACGATTTCATGTAAACAATTATAAATTGCGAATAGACAACTTTGGTTTTTGTTTTCAATCTATCACAAAATGGTATAACTTACAGCAGTAAGTATTATTTATGGAAATTATTGCGGGAGTGCGTATAAGTACTATGAAAGTACTAAGTGTGACATCACAGAGTGACTTACGCGAGGCTTATAAGTAAAAAGTATGTGGTTCAGGCGACCAGGAATGCCTAGTAAGGCTAGAAAGCGGCACGTAGTAAAATTCGAAGACCAAATTTAATGTACCAGCGCGGCAGTCAAGTCAATATGACCCCGTACGCGCCGCTTACGAGCGGGTCGATAAGTGGTTCGTTAGTCGTGACGCTTTTAAGAAGAGAAAGGAACGTCTGGAGAGGGATGAATTGGCAGGTAAAAGGAATGCAGAACAACTGAGATATACTACACCGACCTTAGACGAGGGTTTCGTGCTCATGACACCCGCGACACTGGGTGTGCGGCTAGTGGTGGGTTATGATTGTGTGCGTTATTATTTTGGGGCACTGCTACCGCGTTGCAATTTTTCCCCTTTTGCCAACACGGGTATCTACTGACATGTGACTTAAAAGCGATCTGCTGTACTTATACCCGTAAATTAACATCTTGCATCGTAAATATTCATTTACATAACATAGCAATACTGTAAATAAAGCATACTTAAATTATACAGACATAATTTTAACAAGTGCGTCAAACACGCTTTGTAAGTATAAAAGAACATTTCCTTTTAAAGCCATCATCATGATAAATAAAATAACATAAACACAGGTGTTACTTATTTTTATATTTATATACTTGCATATGCGCAATTTTGCATTCTTCGTATAATTTTAATGTTATGTATATGTTGTGGAGTCAGCAATCTACATTTTTTTTTATTAAAAATCCTTAACGGCTCAATGGTAAGCTTCGTGGATGTTAAAGATTTCGATTCTCGAAAGGGCTAATTTTCAATAGGAACTTTTTAAATTGATATTATATTGTCTGGGAGTTCTTGGAAGAGCTCCGGAATTAAGGCATTTGAACGGCTCGCGAGCCTAGATTTTAGGAGGCGAGGCGTGTAATCAAAATTAATATAATTGAGTACAGATGGAGAAGATTTGACAAAAATCCGACATTGGTAAGTGGTGACTGACGGGGCAGCGGGCGGTGCGGCATGTCGTTAAACCGCTGGGCAATTTTCAAGTTTTGGGATAAATGTGAATTTAATAAATAAAGAAGTTCAGTTGAAATTTTATTCTTAAATGACTCGTTGTAGACTTTTATTACAGCCTGTTTTCGGGATTTTATATGATCGGATGAAGTACACCCTAACGTGTAACAAATTACATTTGTTTTTTACCGAGACGCTTGTTTTATTTTATGGCGAATTTATACGTACTTAACCAATTTATATTAAATGTGTCGTCATAATTTATCAGTTTAACTTTTAAAAACAATTTTAAATTGTGGCCTTGGATATATATTTTTTTTTCAAATAAGCAGCACATTGTAATGTTACTAACACGTGAGTAGAATAAGTACAATAGAAGTAAAAAGACAAGAATTTCTCAGCCAATTAAGCCGTATATTCACATTGTTTTTTTTTTCAAGTGTTGAGTGCATATTATATTACAGTGTAAATTAACAAATTCATTCGATTACGATATCTAAATATCTTTGGGTAATTCCTTACAAATCCAAGTTCGTTGACCTTGTATAGTCAACGGCAAAGTTGATAACGCATATTTGTATAACATAATACAAATTTAAAACGAAATTATAACGTAATATTCGCTTCTAGTCGACTCCGATGGCTGCCGGTTACTATGATTATTAATTAATGAACAAACAAGTGAAACATTCTGTCTCGTCAGGTGGGAGCTACTCAGCCTTAAGTGTAACGAGGATAACGTTTATCAGTCAGTGCAGTGAACGCCATCGTCGCAAGCGCACCTCATTTGTCACTATAGAGTTTAATAAATGACTCTCGCGTTCAGTTAATTGTTTTTAATGTGCCCTATAAGGAATTTCGGGTCGCATCGTGGAGTGAAACAGTGAGATAGGGTTGATGCATACTATAGTGAACCGATATCTGATAAGAAAGTTCTTGGCAGATTAAGTCTGTGCGTACGATATCAATTGAAACATATATTTGTCACATTTTTCTCGTTATGTTTTATAGGTTCTGTTGCTGATTGTTCTATTAACTTTGTATATGATAGATTTTTGAATAATATCTTTTTTCGTGCAATGTAATTATGACATATTTATATTATTTTGTAGTTAAATTTCGTTCATTTATTTCTTATTTAGCGAAAGGTTTTATTGATGAATTGTAAAAGAACATCGGTCACTTGGTCATTACTCAATTTTTGTATATCGACTCATCCGTAGAACAAAAATCTATGTGCAAGACTAATTGTTCTCAGGACATAGTATATTTCGTTCCTTCTTCTTCGCTGTGAATGTCAGATCGACTGTTGTTTGGTTTTATAGTTCCGAAATGAAATAAGATATATAAATTTTCAAAACACCTTTACGTAGGCCTTAGTTTCAATAAGGAAGTTATTCTCGTAATGTACTTATTCTCTTTTCGCTATATAATCACATCGGACTCTGTTCTTCGGATGAGTCGATATATTTATTAATGTGAAATAGACGAATGTTTGCCAATAATTTTACTTAGACTCAATTTACATTTAGTAGCAGCTGACCTCCTTGTGAAAGAGTTCGTCCAGGCGTGTCGCTTACCACCAGCCGCACGACCTGTTCGTCCTGTCATTTGACTATTATAAAAAAAATTAAAAAATGTTCGACATACAACATTTCGACAGAACTGAAGCGAAATTCGCCTCGCTGCGCGGAATGCTCCAGCATTCCCTCAGATTCACGTGACTGCGCCTTAAAGCTGTAGGTGTTCATTGTTTAGTGTACTCTTTTACACGACACGGATGGTGGACTTGGAAATTGTTTTGATTTCGTTTATTTGTGAAGAAGAAGAGAAAAGAAGAACAAAAAAAGGAAAAGATATATTTGCGGCCATGATTTATGGAGGAAACGGAACACTTTTTAGACAATATGAAACATTTTACAACGATTTATATCTATCTTAGTATTTTTTAAGATTACTATGAAATGGACTTTGATAAATTTGATAAGTCGGAGTATTATATTATGGCAACATAATTGTAATTTTAGCTTTTACACTATACAAACCATATTTTAGCACTAAATAGACCAACTTTTCATTTGAACCCATGTTTTTTTCTGACAGAGTATCTATACAACCTATTTCGTAAGACGCGTGACGTCATACTGCAGCTACGGAATTCCCGTGAATGCACAAGCATTCCCAAGAATGCGCAGGCATACCCGAGCATGCGAGAATTCCGTGGAAGACGTGCAAGTCGCAGTCGTTTTTCTCAATTTGTACGTTACGTACAATATCGTTATAAAAATTCGATTCCAATCCGTTCCCCCGCAATATAAATTGAGCCTTAAACAACGATGTGACATTAACTAAAATAGAATGTCCCCTGTGTAGAATTGTTTTCATCATATACATAAGGCGCGAAGACATTACAACTTTGTAGTTTGTCACAAATGAATCAATAATTTTTTTACGCAGTTTACAAGGATCCGGATTCATTCTCATGGGAGAGTTACCTGGAGGAGACATGTGCGTCGGCGGCGCCACCGCGCGCCTTTAAGACGCGCTCGCCGCAGGGATTCAAGCCTGGCATGAAGCTTGAAGTGGTCGATCCTAGGGTAAGTTTTGGTTTGGCCAAAAAATCCGTGCGGTATATAAGTATAATTGAAAACCATCTAAAAAAGTAAATATCGAACTTTAATCAATCATGGATTTACAACTTTTTGCCACCTTTCGGGTAATTTTAGAATTCTTTCGTTCGTTTCATAAAAATCCTGCTCTATTTATAAAATACAGCTCGAAGTATCGTTTGACGGATGTGATGGTCTCTTCATTATCAAAGTCGTGTTCATGCCAAGAATTTTGTAAAGACCGAAAGAAGTAAAAATCTGAAGAGGCTATGTCGGGCAAATACGGTGGATGAGATAACACGTCTCAACCTAACTGCAATAGTTTTAACGGCAGTATCGTGGTGAAATACGACACCTATACGATTCACCAGTTTTGCGCGTTTTTCACAAATATAAACTTAAGACTTTCCCGCCTGTTTTTAAAATGCGCATAAATATGTAATTTTTTAAATTACCGTAGGCACATTACGTACGTACATTTTAAAAGAAACTGTTCTTTACCTTAACCTATGGCAAAAACAGCTAGTTGCCCATTGGACTTAGAGATGGAAAACTAGGCGGAATACATAGCGCACCTTCAGTAACAAAATGACATTTAGGCATTGTAATACAGACATTAGTTTTCCTATCAAATAGTATTTTATCATCTTTAGCACCAGCCGTTGTTTTTTGTTTTAAAATTTTGTCGGTTTCCCAAAAAAATAGTATTATTGGTATTGGTGCAACGGGCTAGTTTCCGCAACTCGACGTCGAGGCGCCTATTTTCCGTGTAAATAAAAAAATAGTTTTCGAATTTCTTCACTTTGTTATCTAGGATGCATGTTTCCTAAAAGCAATATAATATTTTGTTTCATTTTTCAGGATAATTTTTGTTTGAGAAAGTCAAAACTAATTCATCTGTATTGGCACCGTTGTTGCCGTTATTTAAATGGCTCTTAATAATTAGGATTCTTTTGTTAGAACAAAGGACAAAGACTTTAGGTAGTCGACCTGTTGAATGTCGCTCTGCGAGTTATGGATCGAGCTATGCTCGTAGTTTGTCTGAAATATAAGAATCGAAATGAGGTTATCCGACAGTGATCCAAATAGCTGGTAGTAGCTGTCAAAAAGCCGATACCCGATGGTGAAAAGGAGTCTTTGAGTGGCGCCGAAGATCACGGCTTGGCAAACGTAGTGTAACTAGCCAAGTGGAGGGACGATCTGCGAAGGCTGCTTACAACAGAGGGATGCGACTAGCTGAGGACCGTCGAAATGGGAGAGGCCTAAGTCCAGTAGTGAAGAGCTGATGATATTTATATATTATATATGCTAGATATATAATATATATGCTAGATATATAATCTACTAGTGGTGAAAAGGATATTGTCAAAAAAATGTTTCCTCTAAGAAGAGGGTTTATGCTGCTGGCCCAATAACCCGCATTGGCACTTTTCTCTGAATTTAATTTCTCTCATAATTCGATCTCGACCGAGTTGGTCTGCGTTACAAGTTCGTGTCATTGAAATGATATGGAACATGGTCTTTTCTATAAGATTAAAAGAGTAGATTGCATTTTATTTAGGTAATAAAATAATTATAACTTTTTTATATAAAAAACGACCTCAAAAGTTCGTGGAATCACATCTATTTGCCAAATTTTATTGTAATCAGTTACCGGAAAGTGCGCGAAATCGGATTCATCCCCTACTTTGCCACCCCTAGAGGTGGAATATTTTCTTTAAATTTAAAATACTGAGGTAGCCACTTTCCAACAAAAAAAAAAAAACAATTTTCAAAATGGTTTCAAAACTGCCGGCTCTGGATATGGAGCTATCACGTAATATATACATTCAAAAAATACTGCCGTATTGAGAACCTATACCTTTTTTTAAAGTCCGTTAAAAATTGATGAAGCAATCGCAGTTTGTCATGTCAGTCTAAACAGTCAGGCGTTGCGATTGTTTAGAATTAAGTGTTGGTATACCTTGATGTAGTATATGTATATATAATAACGCCTTGATCAATTTCATAAAGCAATCCAATACGAATTGTGTTGTATGTACATTTCGCCATTGAGATTTACTTGTGTTTCATTGTTCAATTCGCATTTCGAATAAATAATCAATTACAAAAAAAATTGGAGAGGCTCGTATCCAGCAGTGGACTGCCGAAGGAGAGTACGCTGACCAAAACCGTAGTAACAACAAATAATCCGTCCGTAGGTGCCGTTCCTGATCCGCGTCGCGACAATAAGCGAAGTGCGCGGGCACCAGGTGCTGGTGGCGTTCGACGGCTGGCCGGCCGAGCTGGCCGTGTGGCTGGACGACGACTCGCCCGACCTCCATCCCGTCGGCTGGTGCCTCAAGACGCAGCACCCGCTCGAGCCCCCGCTCAGTAAGTCACCGTTCTCGAGTCTCGTTGGGTGCGGCGTCGGACCGCGAGTATAGCGAGTGGTTGTGCAGCGCCGGAAGAGCTGGGCGTGCGCGGCCCGTGCGGCGTGGGCGGCTGCCGCGGCCTGGGCTCGCTGCGCGGCGGGCCGCTCAAGCAGCACTCGGCGGCGTCGGCCTGCCCCTACCGCTCGCGCGCCACGCCCGTGCTGCCCGACCGCCTCAGCGAGCGCGCGCCCTCGCCCGACCGCGTGCTGCCCCGCTCGCGCAGGTACGGCCTCCGCCCGACCCGGGCTCGGCGCACTCGCGGCCGCGCTCAAGCCCGCCCTTCTCGTTGCAGGGTTCCCGCCAAGCCCAAGTCGATCCACGCGAGCACGCCCACCGGCGACGCGCCCAAGGAAAAGTAAGATTTCGCCGCGTTTCACCCGCTTCGCTCGTCTTTGATGTTTCGTTAACACGACGTTTCACGTTTAAGGTTGCCGCGCGGGAGACCGCCCAAGCACAAGAGAATCGAGGAGGTGTCCAAGAACGAGGTAGGCCCGCAACTCTTCTCGTATCGCGTCCCCGGTGAGAAGTGACGAAATTCAAAGTAACATTGAAACGCGTACAAAGGGTTCCGACGACGAGTCGGTGTCGAGCGGCGGCGGCAAGCGCTGGCGGCGCAGCGCGGGC